AGTCATAGAACAGCTAAAAATTAGCTAATTATCATGCAAATTAGGTAATTAACGAGCATGGATTTTTACCAAAACCTAATCAAATCTGCGCATTGGCCCAGAGCATCTATGCACCAAGTTTCATCAAAAACCGATGTATGGTTCTTGAGATAGCAGTGGAAAAGTCGGACACACATACACACACACACACACACACACACACACACACACACACACACACACACACACACACACACACACACATACAGACACACTAACTGCAAAGACTTCCATTTTGTGCTTCGCACATGGGAGTCAAAAATGAACAATATGAATAGTAGCAACGCAATCGGACTTACAGTTTTCAACAAGAAGTCGAAAATATCTCTTTTTACCAAAAATTACAAAAATATTTACCAAAATTAGAGAATAGAAAATATCATCACAAAATGAACAAATCTGAGAGAGGTCCACATGTAGTACCTATATATGTAATATCAAAGCAATTGGACTTGCGGTTTTTTTAACAAGAAGTCGAAAATATCACTTTTTACCAAAAATGACAAAAATATTCACCAAAATTAGAGAATTAAAGATATCATCACGAAATAAACAAATCTGAGAAAGGTCTACATGTAGTATCTATATATGTAATATCAAAGCAATTAAACTTTTGGTTTTTAACAAGAAGTCAAAAATATCACTTTTTACCAATAACAAAAATATTCACCAAAAATAGAAAATTTGAGATTTTGACATGAAATGAACAAATCTGAGAAAGAACCATCCAAGGTACTTGCATATCAAATTTGAAAACAATCTGAATTGCAGTTTCGTAGAAGAAGTTGAAATTGTAAAGTTGATGACGACGACAGACAATCAGTAATATGAACAGCTCCGCTGTGCCGACTTTGTTGACAGCGGAGCTAAAAATATTAGGGTCTTTGGGCAAACAGTCTAGGTCAAGAGCTTCATCATAATCTTAGTTGTTGAATGTTTTATATTGTACTCTGGAGTGCATGGAGTAGACGATGGAAACTTGAATTTTTTTGTCCTTAATGGTATTGGCAAAATTTCCGGGTACATCTTTCGCTATTATCCAGGTGTCGCAGTTTTGAGAAAAAATATACCGTATTACCCCGGGCATGCGCCCAGGGGCCTGAACGTACAAAATCGGGAAAAATTGGGGGTGGGCGCTTACCCGAGGACCACCCCAAAAAAGATTTTAAAAAGTTGTTTTTGTGATCGTATGATAAGGTCAAATAAAGGAATGCTTTCGTACACTTTGTACACGTACTTATTTCTTGATTTATGCAAGTTTCAATAAACGTGAGCACTCGGTCAAGATCTGTGGGAACACTAAGACACAGGGTCGAATTTCAAGAATAAAACTTGTTTTATGTCAGCGAATGAAGTTGTATTACTCACTGAAATTGACTACAAACTATGGTAAATATTGTAATCAATGCACGGAAATACATTTTT